CAGGGATGAAACCCGGGGCGGAGGACTAGCTATGTAATTAGCAGGGTCCTTGTCAAATGAGAAGGTGGAGCCCCTCGTTCTAAGATTAGTAAGAATTTCAAAACAGGGACAGTGGCCTATCAAGCCAAGCAGGAGGCCTTCTATGCATGCCGGTGACATGTGGTGGCGTGACCCTGAGGCCGGCCTGAGAGGTGGGAGGAGGGAGCATACATGTGGTCGCAGCCGTGGGGCTGATCTCGAGTCAGCTGAGCAAGAGGCTGGAGCCTGGGGGGCAGCCAGTCTGGGAGACACGTCCACTGGAGGGGTCCCCCAGGAGCCTAGCCCATCGGCTCTTCCTGTCTCCCGCCCAGGGCTCAGAGAGAGCAGATTGAGAAGGAGCGGCTGGAGGAGGAGAAGGCGGCCACAGGACGCTTACAGCACGCCAACGAGCTGCGGCGCCAAGTGCGCGAGAACCAGCAGAAGCAAGTGCAGAGCCGTATCGCCACCTTCGAGGAGGGCCGGCGCCTCAAGGAGGAGGCCGAGAAGCGGCGTGAGCGCATTGACAGCATCAAGAAGAAAAAGCTGGAGGAGCTAAGGTGGGCCCGCTCTGCAGGCTAGGCAGTGTGGGATTCGGGGTGCAGGGGCCCTCTTCCTGACTCAAGGTTCAGTCCTTGGAAGGGGTCTTCTGGCCCTCTGAGAAGTCCTTGGCACAAGTGTGTTGGGGGGCTTGGGGAGCAGGGTTGGGGTGCACGCCACTCAGAACCTCCCTTCCCCTGCTTCCTGCTCCAACCCCTCTCTCTCTGCCCGCAGAGCTGCCGGCCTCCCTGAGAAATACTGCATTGAAGCTGAGCGCAAAGCTAACATCCTGCCAGCCACCTCTGCGAACTGAGGGGGCCTTCGCATGTGGCCCTGGGGATGCCTTCAGGGGACAGATTCTGCCAGCCTCTGGGCGCCCGTAATTGCTGCTAACCTAGACATTTCCTAGTTACAGATGAAGTCTATTCTGCTCTAAGGAACGGCTCGCTGTCTTGTTGTGGGGATGTGGCAGCTACAGGGCACCGAAAAGGGGGTATAATCGGTGTGGGGGAGCTGTGCATGGGCAGTGCGAGGTCCAGGGGGGGTGCTCCCTGCTGCTCCTCCCTCCAGAGCCAGGAGGACCCCTTGTCCTGGTGGCTCCTGGTCTGTTCTGTGACTCCCCTGGGTGTCGGCTTTCAGCACAGTCTGTCCCTGCCCCCACCCCACGCCAGCTGGGAGGCATTTCAGGGCACTGAGGCAGAGTTGGGGATGCCGCCTCAGGGAGGGGTTAGAGAGGAGGTGCCAGGCTGGCCGAGGCAGGGCTCCGGCCTGGCTCACGCCCATGAGTCAGAACACATCTGTAGAGGGCTGGTGTTTGAACCTGGGCTCTCTCCTCCCATCCCAGCCGTCTCCTGCTAGAGCCCTTTCAACTCCAAGTGGTGCTACAAAACGGACACCGGTCTGTCCCCTCAGGGCATGCCTGGGGCGAGCCCTCCGCTGCTTGCCAGCCCATTCTCCCTCAGCAAACACTGCTGTCCCCTCTCTCAGACTTGGCTGGTCACAGTCCACTTCATTGCCATAGTGGGGCTCCCCTGGGCCATTTTTATCGGCAGCGGGGCCTTCAACTCTCCTCACTTTGTCCAAACTACTCTTCATACACTCCTCACCCATTCAGGTACCTGCTGGCCGCATGCCTGGGACCCTCTAGGTACCCTGAGAACCCATCAGATGTGGCTCCACCTCAAGAAGCCTTTCTGGGCCTGAGCGCTCCTGCCTCCTCCCCCAGCTCTCCCCACCTCCTGTCTTGTCCCTTCACAACAGTCTGAGCCTTCTGGGAAGCAGCCTGGGGCTCCCATTCAGGGCTGGAGTGCCAGCCCCCCAGGGATGGAGCTGGTGCCCCGCCTTTGTGTGCAGTTGAGAACTTCCACCTGCTGCCATCACCGAGGTGCCTCCCTGCCCCCCAGGGGTGGTTCCATTTCTCAGAGCAGAGCCCAGTCTTCCCCATGGGTCCTGCAGTAGGGCAGCTGCTGGGCGCGTCCTGGGTGTTTACAATGCCAGGTTACAAGGGCCCTGGGCAAGAGTCCTCCTTTACAGGGTCCAGGGAGAGTCAGCAAGCTGCTTCCGGTGCTTCCTCTTCCCCAGGCAGCTGCAAGTCCCCAGGCACCTCTCTGCCTTCCCCTCCAGGAAAGACAGCTGTCCCTCCCAGACCTCCCCCGACCCCGTGGTGACCCTACCAGCTGTTTGGGAAAGGTCTTCACTCCTTCCCTGCTCAGTACTCCTAGCTGTAGCCCCCCACCTAGGGGAACACTCACTTTCCTCCTTAGGGGTCTTGGAAGACCTGTGGTACCCAACCGAAGGTGGGAGGGCCACCAAGGAGCTGGCACACTGTCCTGGGCGCTCTACAGCCCTGCTTGTTGCTCAGTTGATGCCCGCGGGGACTAGGGACCAAGCCCTTATCCATTTCAGGGCTCACCATTTCCTAGGAAAGTCAGGAGGAGCCTTGAGTGCCTGGAGTTTGCCCAGCTCTACACCTAAGCCATGCTATCAGGCCCGGAAAGAAGGGGCTTCTGGGGAGTACAGGTCATGCAGAAACAGGCCTTGTATACCCACAGCTAACTTCTGAGCCCATGCAGAGAACAACTGGCCGAGCTCACAGGTCGAAAGCCAGGCTGGCTTCTGACCAGAGCTGCTGCTGGTGAAAACACAGGAGAGAGAAGGCCCCTGGCAGTTGTGGGGCTGGAGGACTGGAAGATGGTGGTAGAGACTGAGTCTAGCCTGCAGGGCGAGGTGGGGCTGGAGGCAAAAGAGAAAATAGGGATTCTTTTGAGGACTTGCAAGAATAAATAAGCAGCCTCAATCTTGCTGCTAGAAGTTGGACCTTCCTGCTAAGGGAACTTTCCCCTCCTTGTGTGAAGTGGAATATTAGCATAGGAGTAGTGCATGCTGAGGGAATCTGGAGATAAGTAGGCAGTGCTGTCTGGTGCACTGGGTTTGTTAGTGTAAAGGTGTTTTTTGTTTTTGTTTTTGTTTGGAGAGGTTTTTGCTATAGGGCGTGTGCACTTGCCAGAAAGACAGAAAGAGACAGAGAGACAGAAAGCAAGAAATCACCCTCCAGGGGGGATGGCCACGCTGCAATCCCCTCTCCTCCATTCTCCTCTCGGGATCTTGGGCATGCACCCACACACGCCCGGCGTGAGTTTAAGCCACTGGGTCCGGGACTTGAACCGTGGTTGACTACATGAGAGCCCTGTGTCATAGCCATTACATCAACTGCTGGTCCCTGTTTTTTCTTTTTTTTTTTTAAGTGCCCAAGGTATTGACTTTCCTGCATGGGTATCTGATTCTTTTGTATCTTACTTTGCATTATCTTATGTATAAAGCATGTATTGCTCTCTAGGACTTCCCAGCTCCCTGTCTTCTGCTGCTGAAGTCTTCCAGTCTTTGCAATGCCAGACTGGTCTGGTCCAGCCTGGAAAATGCAGAGTTCGGCTGCACCCCTTGGAGCACTAACTCAGACCAGCAGGCAGCGGCCTTCCGGGCATGTGCTCCCTGTCCCCGGCTGGGCTCTATGTCCTACCTGGCTGCATGTGCTCGTCACCCACACCACGCTCTGCTGTGGCTTGGGGGTGGCCTCAGAAGCACCTGCTGCAGAAGCAGCTATGTTGGGCATGACTCAGCAGCCTGCCCTGGTGGCTCAGACAGGCTGTCCCTGACTCAGTGGGATGTAGGGATGTCCTTTCCCATCCTTGAAAGCCTCGGCACCCCCATCTGTGACTTGGGTCATAGCGGGGCATTAACTGGTCTCAGTAAAAGCACTTTGATTCATTTTGGATGAAAGGGACTGAGGCAGTTCAAAGCCAGACAGGGCTTTTGGGATGAAGAAGGGTGGCATCTATTTAGGTGACAGTGGATGGAGGACATCAGAGTCTCAAACGAGTCTGAGTATAGAGGCCAAAAGTGCTCAGGAAGAGTTCCCCACTCTGCTTTCTTGCTGCAAGTGTGGGAGGTCCTGGGGAGAGTGGTGGGAAAGGGTATGGCCCATCCCAGACCAGAGAGCTCTTCCCTGTCCTCGGTGGCCTGCCTCCCTGCCATACTCTGGGATTTATCTGGGGAAGCTCATGCCCAAGTCACCCGGAAGATCCTTGTTCTACCACCAGTTATCCTTACTTTGATGGCTTCAGATAGCCTCTGCCTCCACTTCCACAGCTCACAGGCTCCCCAGCCAGGATCTTCTGCCCGAGGTGCACGCTCTGTGGGTCTCTGCGTCCTCACCCTGTTCTCCCAGCATGCAATCCCCTCTCCTCCATTCTCCTCTCGGGATCTTGGGCATGCACCCACACACGCCCGGCGTGAGTTTAAGCCACTGGGTCCGGGACTTGAACCGTGGTCGACTACATGAGAGCCCTGTGTCATAGCCATTACATCAACTGCTGGTCCCTGTTTTTTCTTTTTTTTTTTTTTAAGTGCCCAAGGTATTGACTTTCCTGCATGGGTATCTGATTCTTTTGTATCTTACTTTGCATTATCTTATGTATAAAGCATGTATTGCTCTCTAGGACTTCCCAGCTCCCTGTCTTCTGCTGCTGAAGTCTTCCAGTCTTTGCAATGCCAGACTGGTCTGGTCCAGCCTGGAAAATGCAGAGTTCGGCTGCACCCCTTGGAGCACTAACTCAGACCAGCAGGCAGCGGCCTTCCGGGCATGTGCTCCCTGTCCCCGGCTGGGCTCTATGTCCTACCTGGCTGCATGTGCTCGTCACCCACACCACGCTCTGCTGTGGCTTGGGGGTGGCCTCAGAAGCACCTGCTGCAGAAGCAGCTATGTTGGGCATGACTCAGCAGCCTGCCCTGGTGGCTCAGACAGGCTGTCCCTGACTCAGTGGGATGTAGGGATGTCCTTTCCCATCCTTGAAAGCCTCGGCACCCCCATCTGTGACTTGGGTCATAGCGGGGCATTAACTGGTCTCAGTAAAAGCACTTTGATTCATTTTGGATGAAAGGGACTGAGGCAGTTCAAAGCCAGACAGGGCTTTTGGGATGAAGAAGGGTGGCATCTATTTAGGTGACAGTGGATGGAGGACATCAGAGTCTCAAACGAGTCTGAGTATAGAGGCCAAAAGTGCTCAGGAAGAGTTCCCCACTCTGCTTTCTTGCTGCAAGTGTGGGAGGTCCTGGGGAGAGTGGTGGGAAAGGGTATGGCCCATCCCAGACCAGAGAGCTCTTCCCTGTCCTCGGTGGCCTGCCTCCCTGCCATACTCTGGGATTTATCTGGGGAAGCTCATGCCCAAGTCACCCGGAAGATCCTTGTTCTACCACCAGTTATCCTTACTTTGATGGCTTCAGATAGCCTCTGCCTCCACTTCCACAGCTCACAGGCTCCCCAGCCAGGATCTTCTGCCCGAGGTGCACGCTCTGTGGGTCTCTGCGTCCTCACCCTGTTCTCCCAGCAGCCATGGTCTCCCTGCTCTGATGCCTCTGAGGCTAGGACAGGAACAGAGTTGAGCTTTTGGGGTGACTTTCTTAGAAGACTCCCAGAACGAGGAGGTAGGTCATGGGTGTGAGTGGGGTGTGGGGTACAAGGGTCTGAGGCTAGGGAGAAACTACCCAGATCGGGTGGGATTTTCTGCATAGCCCCTGGAGAAAGACTGATGGGTGAGCACAAAGTCGTGGAATCCAACTGCCGCCCACCCCCACGCCTGCCCCATGTTTGAATCTCCTTCGTGAACTCTAGCCAAAGGATTGGACAGTCTGAGCTTGCACACCCTGAGAGTCAGTGTTTACTACCTCATAAGGAAACCTGGTCCACCTCAGATCCATCCTGATACTCAGAAAGGTTTATTTATTTTTATTTTTGAATATTTTTGGAGAGGTTTTTACTATAGGGCACGTGCACTCTCCAGACATACAGAGAGAGACAGAAAGCAAGAAATCACCCCCCAGGGGGATGGCCATGCTGCGATCCCTTC